ACTGGAGATGTAAGTCCCACAAACAATCCAAACAGCGGCAAACAACACATACCGTTGGGACATGAGCCACACTGGCCATGGTACGTGGGGCACGCGGCACTCTGACACTGGCTTTCCCCCCTCTCTTGCAGTTGCATGCTCGCCTGCAAAATACCATCGCCTTCCAACTCTGGGTGCAAGCTCTCGTGGCTCCGTGCCGTGCGAGGTCCTGGTGATTGGAAGCGTCATATCCGTGATACTTACTACTGTACAGTGTAGGGGTCTCTTGCTCACACAATCTCACACACGGCCAGACTTTCTCACAACCATCTCGTTTTGGCAGTCCGCAGGAACGGAGCAGGGGGGACTGACGCGGTTTACCCCTTTGGACATAATTCTCGCGATGAACCCACATTGCGGCTTGGTGCCACCGATCACGCTTTGCGAGTTGCCAGCTGCTCATTACAATGGGTGCATCATGGTGCATCCTGTAGGCTCGTATCCGACTGCATCTTCAGCGATGGCATTGAAATAGACTCCAATGTACATGCCATGTCCAGCTTTGCATTTCCGATAATGCCAAAGAGCCACCTCAGGAGTTGCTCTAAATTTCCGGCCTTGGGCAAATTTCCCAGTTCCCCGAACATGTTGTTTTACACAACATCCAACTTGAGCCAGCCTGGGCAGCACCTGGCTGTGTCCCACCAGGCCAATCCATGGGCAAACTTCCTTGGTGATTGAGGTCATCTGGAACAGAAGCCTAGCTGTACAAACAAGCGCAAGGACTGCAACCCATGGAGCTGTGCGTCTGACTTGAGCACCAAATAACTCCTTGTAGAAGGTGCTGTCGGACATCAGGCGCCAAAGATCTACGACCGCGTAGCAGTCAGAGAGGAAGAAGTGGAAGTGCAAATGATGTCTGCACTTGTCCTCCCGCTGCAGCTTGACCGTCCAGAATAGTCTCACAACAAGCTGCAAAATCTGTGGCCTCGAGATTCCCATGGGTTTCGCTGTGGTTTGGAGCCGTGCACGGCCCAGCTCCAGGATGGTGGCTTCCTTTGCCCCGCCACTCCTGTGCTCAGTCCGCTTTAAGACTTTGTTCTAGCTGTACCTACAGGATCCTTCTACGGGGAGCCTTGCATTCGCTGCCAAGGTTTGGGCCCTCTACGGAATTTCGCAAGGAGTGATGTCCATCAGCCGTGGCAACGCCAAGTCTGCGAATGTCTCCGTGCATGCCATTGGGACGCACGCCTTAGCAACACCACCGTGTAGTAGAATGGCAAGCTATCACCAGCCATCTCTGGCCGCTAGCTGGCAGAGAACCAAGGCGCCCCGACGTGAACAAGCTGGTTCATGTGTGAAACAGCCATCTCCCGCGATCTGGTTCCCTAGGGAGCAAACAAGTCGTCACAATGATCAATGCTGCGACAGAAGCACTGATGTGCACTGGCACACGCTTTGTGCTGTCAAGCCACGATGAGGTAGACGGGATGCAACAGCACCTCCTGCATTCAGGAAGCATACCACCAGTGCCCAGACAAGGTCTGCTTCACCGCTGTTCAGAAGAACACGGCCGGGTTGGCTTGGGGTGGCGAATTCTATTGGATTTCGACGACAGGACCGCTAGTGCCCCACGCTCCTTGCCACAGGTAGATTTGACGGAACTTCCTCCGGGTGTACACCCGTTTGACGGCATTGATGCCCGGGTGCCCCCCACCCCAAACCACCACTTGCGCTGAAGCCAAGCCATTGGTCAGACTGCGAATGTTTCTCTGAAACATTAGAATGAGGCGAAGGTGCGACTACTGATAGCAATACAGGCATTTCCCGAAGTAGAAATAAACGGCTCTCATGCGCGTAGAGTGACCGTATCAAACACAGGCTACGAATAGTCACAACGCTGTCACCACAGCAGGACACCTCATCCCTCCCAGCCCCCACGTCGCCAGGCCAAGCCATGCCAGGCCATGTTGACGACCGCGCCCTTTTTCGAGCAATGGCGTTGCTTCCGGGTACCTTCAACGCGAAAGACGCCTGCTGCTTTGTCATCCGGATCCTTTGACGGCACCTGCCTAAGCCCGCCCCATTATTTGAATACCGGAAGGCAAAAGCAACGCATCGCACACGACACATGGAAAGGCGGATAAAAGGACTAACAAACAATCTGTGAAAAGCAGGAAGCACACAGCGAAAACAACATGCAACAAGTACAGACATAAACAAGGTAATGGCGCATGAAACCACCCGTGCGATAGAAAAGGTGGTTTTGAAGGCAAAATGGCAGTTTTGCCGAGGCAAAACGATGATTTCTGGATGATTAATTCTTGTCCTGGGAGACATCTTTGCGCAACCTGGAAAGATTTCGGGTCTTGCTTTCGTCATTGTTTTATCTTTGGAACTAGTGTTTTTGATAGTTTTGCCACTGCCAAAAACAAGGTTTTGCGTTTGATGGCTTGGTTGTCCGGCAGCATGTCTTTACAGTTTCCGGGTATGGTGGCCTTTTTGGATTTCGGTCCAGGTTTGGGCTTGTGGGGCTTCGGTGTTGCGATGCCATTAAGGCAAAATGGCAGTTTTACCGAGGTAGATCGATGATTTCTGCTTTCTCAGTTCTTGTCTTGGAAGACGGCCTTGCGCAACCTCTACAGTTTTCGGGTCTTTCTTTCGTCACTGTTTCATCTTTGGAATTAGTGTTTCTTCGTGGTTTTGCCGAACCGAAAACTTGGTCGTGGGATGTCGGGTTCAAGCTTTGAACTTGAAGGTTTTGGGGCTTGCACTGCTTCGCCAAGGCCTGGGATGCTGGCTTTAAGCTTCTAGCTCGAGGGTTTTGGCCTTACACGGGACGTTTGTTTAGAGTTTGACGGTTTGAGTTCAGACGCTGTGGGAAATGGTGACTTAGGATTACAGAAAAGACTGGCACAGCACAGGCATCTTGGTCTGCAAACGCAAACTAACTAGAGAGTACATGGCTGTAAGACCATGCAGAACAGGTGCAGCAGTGGCAGCTGCAGCAGCAGCAGCAGCAGCAGCACAGCAAGGGTGGCAGCAGAACCTATGGTTGTAAGGCCATGCAGTACAGGTGCAGCAGCAGTGGCAGCTGCAGCAGCAGCAGCAGCATAGCAAGGGTGGTTAGTGCAGCAGAATTTTCAAAACAACTAGTAGCACAGCTACTCCTATGACTGCTCGGTAATGGACGTCGTCAGACAGAACGAAACTAGCCCCCTCCCCCACCCCATCCCCAACACCCCAGAAGCAGACACAAACAAGCAAAAACAAGGTGACGGCGCCGGTAC